TTGGGACTTAATGAGGATTTTTGGCTTGTTGCCAGTGATCCATCGCCTCGGCCCACGCCTTCTGGCAACTTCATATATCAACTTACATATAATGACCAGACCACACACTAGAAATTGAAGAGACGACGACGTTTCGGTCCGTCCTGGACCATTCTCAAGTCGATTGTCAATCGACTTGAGAATGGTCCAGGACGGACCGAAACGTCGTCGTCTCTTCAATTTCTAGTGTGTGGTCTGGTCATCATACTTCAGCCACGTTATTGTGACTCATCGCCTGAACTTACATATATTTATTACACAAAAAATATTACTTTATGAATATGTCACTCAGTTTGGATCACTGTGGAACACGTTCACCTTCCATGGTAGTGATCGTGTAAGATGACATTATATATATATATATATATATATATATATATATATATATATATATATATATATATATATATATATATATATATATATATATATATATATATATATATATATATATATATATATTATATATATATATATATATGTATATATATATATATATATATATATATATATATATATATATATATATATATATATATATATATATATATGAATGTTCTTTCTGAACATGAATTTCTGAATGAATCTGCTTTCACTGAATGTTCAAATCAGTGGGATGTTCTTGCAGCCCCAGCAATCATTATAGAGCCAACAAAACAACACAAACAGTCCGGCTGGGACCACCCTCTAGTGGAAAAAGTAGCTGATGCCATGCTCAACGCCGCAACATCAGACAAGGAGAAAGCTCGCCTCAGAGCAGTGCGTGCCCCCCATGCAGGAGACTTCCTCCTGGCAGTACCCATGTCAGCAATGGGCACGCGCCTAGATCCAGAATACCTTCGTGTAGCAGTGGCCCTCCGCCTTGGTGCCCCAATTCACACTGAATACAAGTGTATTTGCAACAGGGTGGAAGCAGACCAATACGGACTGCATGGGTTGCATTCCGGAAGCACAAAGGGCTGGCATGCAAGACACAACGAGGTCAATGACATCATGAAGAGAAGCCTCGTCTCAGCTAGGTGCCCAGCGGAGAGAGAACCTCGCATCCTAGGGGTCCAAAACCCGGATTTCCCCGCACTTCGCCCTGATGGCATCACCATATACTCCTGGAAGGAGGGTAGACAGTTGGTGTGGGACTACACATGTGTAGCCACCCTGGCTGACACCTATGTACACTTCGGAGCTGATCAAGCAGGTGGGGCGGCCAACCACAGGGAAACAGCAAAATCACTCAAGTGCAGGCGACTGGAAGGTCAATACCTCTTTGTTCCCATAGCGTCTGAGACGCATGGCCCCTGGGGCAAGAGTGCCTTGGGATTTCTCAAGGAATTGGTTTCCAAGCTCATTGACGTCACCAGAGACCCAAGGGCTTCCAGTTTTTTGTTTCAGCGTCTCAGTGTGGCGATCCAGAGGGGAAATGCTTGCTGCGTCCTCGGTTCCTGTCCAGAAGCGGAGGAGCTTCAAGAGATCCATAACCTTTAGGCATTTGTCTTGTATGTTTTGTAACCTTTAAATACACAATAAAGGAAAATAAATATATATATATATATATATATATATATATATATATATATATATATGTCGTACCTAGTAGCCAGAACTCACTTCTCAGCCTACTATTCAAGGCCCGATTTGCCTAATAAGCCAAGTTTTCCTGAATTAATATATTTACTATAATTTTTTTCTTATGAAATGATAAAGCAACCCCTTTTCTCTATGTATGAGGTCAATTTTTTTATTGGAGTTAAAATTAACGTAGATATATGACCGAACCTAACCAACCCTACCTAACCTAACCTAACCTATATTTATAGGTAAGGTTAGGTTAGGTAGCCAAAAAAAGCTAGGTTAGGTTTGGTTAGGTAGGTTAGGTAGACGAAAAAACATTAATTCATGAAAACTTGGCTTATTAGGCAAATCGGGCCTTGAATAGTAGGCTGAGAAGTGCGTTCTGGCTATTAGGTACGACATATATATATATATATATATATATATATATATATATATATATATATATATATATATAAAAATTATGAGGGTACCACCTCTGGTGCCAATGTGGGGACCCATAGCCTCGGAGAAGAAAATAAAAAGTATTCAGAGGAGACCTTGTGGTTTCTCACTGAACACTAATATTATCTTCTCCTACCACCCCCATTCTTTTGTATGTACACATATATATTTGCTTTATTTGAACTTTGTTACAAAAAAGGAGTTACATATAGGTTACAAAGATGGTTATCATAGGTTGTCGAGTTCCTCCAGCTCCTCAGATGGCGGGCAGGAACCCTGGATGCAGTGCGCATTTCCCCTCTGTATCGCCACGCTGAGGCGCTGGAAAAGAAAGCTGGCAGCTCTAGGGTCCCTTGTTGTTTCAATGAGCCTAGAACCCAGTTCCTTCAAAAAACTGGTAGCACTTTTACCCCAGGCGCCGAGTGTCTCAGAAGCAATGGGGACAAAATTGTAGTGATGATCCAGTTCTCTATACTTACGGGATTTGGCTGCTTCCCTGTGGGTGGCAGCGCCACCTGGTTGTGCAACAACAATATATATATATATATATATATATATATATATATATATATATATATATATATATATATATATATATAGATAGATAGTTGTGCATTAATTGGCTTTTGATTGCTGGTGTTGACTTCTTGATGTGTAGTGCCTCGCAAACGTCAAGCCGCCTGCTATCGCTGTATCTATCGATGATTTCTGTGTTGTTTACTAGGATTTCTCTGGCGATGGTTTGGTTGTGGGAAGAGATTATATGTTCCTTAATGGAGCCCTGTTGCTTATGCATCGTTAAAACGCCTAGAAAGAGATGTTGTTGTCTTGCCTATATACTGGTTTTTTTGGAGCTTACAGTCCCCAAGAGGGCATTTGAAGGCATAGACGACGTTAGTCTCTTTTAAAGCGTTCTGTTTTGTGTCTGGAGAGTTTCTCATGAGTAGGCTGGCCGTTTTTCTGGTTTTATAATAAATCGTCAGTTGTATCCTCTGATTTTTGTCTGTAGGGATAACGTTTCTATTAACAATATCTTTCAGGACCCTTTCCTCCGTTTTATGAGCTGTGGAAAAGAAGTTCCTGTAAAATAGTCTAATAGGGGGTACAGGTGTTGTGTTAGTTGTCTCTTCAGAGGTTGCATGGCGTTTCACTTTCCTTCTTATGATGTCTTCGACGAAACCATTGGAGAAGCCGTTGTTGACTAGGACCTGCCTTACCCTACAGAGTTCTTCGTCGACTTGCTTCCATTCTGAGCTGTGGCTGAGAGCACGGTCGACATATGCGTTAACAACACTCCTCTTGTACCTGTCTGGGCAGTCGCTGTTGGCATTTAGGCACATTCCTATGTTCGTTTCCTTAGTGTAGACTGCAGTGTGGAAACCTCCGCTCTTTTCCATGACTGTTACATCTAGAAAGGGCAGCTTCCCATCCTTTTCCATCTCGTAAGTGAAACGCAGCACGCAGCAGTCTTAGTCGACATGAACTTGAAACCGGCCATATACTGCAGGTATGTTGACGACATTTTTACACAGGTACCTGATGTCAGACATCTGCAGGAGCTGAAGGAGGCATTTGAGCAGAGTTCCGTGCTGCGTTTCACTTACGAGATGGAAAAGGATGGGAAGCTGCCCTTTCTAGATGTAACAGTCATGGAAAAGAGCGGAGGTTTCCACACTGCAGTCTACACTAAGGAAACGAACATAGGAATGTGCCTAAATGCCAACAGCGACTGCCCAGACAGGTACAAGAGGAGTGTTGTTAACGCATATGTCGACCGTGCTCTCAGCCACAGCTCAGAATGGAAGCAAGTCGACGAAGAACTCTGTAGGGTAAGGCAGGTCCTAGTCAACAACGGCTTCTCCAATGGTTTCGTCGAAGACATCATAAGAAGGAAAGTGAAACGCCATGCAACCTCTGAAGAGACAACTAACACAACACCTATACCCCCTATTAGACTATTTTACAGGAACTTCTTTTCCACAGCTCATAAAACGGAGGAAAGGGTCCTGAAAGATATTATTAATAGAAACGTTATCCCTACAGACAAAAATCAGAGGATACAACTGACGATTTACTATAAAACCAGAAAAACGGCCAGCCTACTCATGGATAGATAGATAGATAGATAGATAGATAGCAGTCTTTCTTTTAAGCATATTTCGTTGAGATTTATGTTGAAAAATGAACTCTCCAAAGTAAATTTTTACTTTTATTTGGTCTGACGCCTAGTGATGCGTTTCGTAAGGTCACTCCTCACATTTTCAAAGACAAATTCTACCGTGTTGTTGTTGTTTTAGATTCAGCTACTTAGAACAAAAGTTTCAAAGTAGCACGGGCTATAGTGAGCCCGTAGTGGACTTACATGGCGCAGGAACGGGCTGTAACTGTGTTACTGCCCTCGCGCTTAGCACCTGGTTATATCCTCTTATAGTGAGGTGGTTAAGTAACATATGGATGAATGGCATTACATGGGGGATATTAATAAGGTATTAAATGTATCAATATACAGTGTGACATGTTGGCAGTTTATGTTCTCCTGGTTGCTTCCGTTCCTGTTGCAGGGTCATTCGGTCTAGCTTTTCCATTGGTCCGCGAGGTCTTGAAGTGGGTAGAGTGTAATTGTGTATTAGCTGGTTATTGATTGGCTGGTCTAGATTTCTTGATATGCAGCTCCTCACTGATGTCTAATCTTCTAATCTAATATATATATATATATATATATATATATATATATATATATATATATATATATATATATATATATATATATATATATATATATATATATATATATATATTCACATAATAAAAATAATGCCTTGATCACCATTTCTTGAAGATGGTGATCTTCAAGTTTCTTCATCTTCATTTCGAAGATGAAGAAACAGACGTTGATAACCTAGCCAATACTGGAGGAGGGAGTGTAGGTAGCAACTGATGGAGGGAGTGTACGTAGGAAGCGTTGGAGGAGGATGTATAGCTAGTCACTGCGGGTGGAGGACGCGGACGGATTGCGGGAGATGCGACTCCTGAGGGTGAGACCGTCTGTAGGGTACTCATCCTTACGCCTCATCCTCCACACACACACCCCCGCCACCAGCAGCACCACCAGCAGCGCCACCAGCAACACCACCAGCACCCACGTTGAGGCAAAATAGGCGAGCGACGTCTCCGAGGCGTTGTCCAGGTACGTCAGCGTCTGACGCCACAGATTCCGCTCCTGTGAGTGGAAGAAGAAGACACGGGAAGAAGTCATCTTTGTTTCACTCAACGGAGCGCTTCTCTACCTAACTAACGTGTTCGCGTCGATTTCTCATTATTTCCCTGTTTTTGTCTTTACATTTTTGTTAATGTGTTAGAAATGTTTCTTAGATGAATCTGAAGTAATGTACTTATGTATGGTTATTTTTCTGTTGTTATTTTGTCCACAAGTATGATAATTCTTGCCAGGTTCAAGAAATCTTCTAAATTTCTCAAAAAATCTTTGCGATTTCTCAAGAAATCTTCTGAATTTCTTTTCCTGATAATTATATAAAATTAAATTGGTATTTCTCACGTAAAATTGTAATCGTGTGCAGTGTCAGTTAGAAATTACCTAAGGAAAAGGTCCTAAAATACTGCATTTACATCACCCTCAATATTTCTTGTTTAGTTAATTATTCCCAAATATAAATATTCTATTTTGGCAAAATTACATTTTGAAGCCTTTGGTATATTTTTCTCCAAAAATGTTTACCTTTAATTATGTCAATGTTTGACATACTATTACAATATTCAAATATTCTTTGAATCACTTTCCTCTGCAAATTGCCTGCATGTTTACCAATGTTTTAATTTGTTTTCCAATAAGTCAGTCCTCCTTTCCTGTAGATCCTTTCTATAGGAACAAATTTATTGTATACTCCTAATCTTATACTCGGCAATTATTTAATTGGAATTCATATTAATCCATGGTTTCAATGATTGCAAAAATGCCTTTCTTTTATTCACAAACATATACCCTTAGCTCACGAATTTTAATTATGAGGCCAGATAGAACATACTAAAACTAATGATGTCACTCAAGTAGCAAAATCAAGATATTACAACTGTCGGGGGACTCGTGGATCATATAATGGACAGAGCCGTCTGAAGACTAGACAGTGAGAGATGGATCCAACAGCATCCTATTAAACCCACATCCCAGTGTGCTTACTTGGAGGCTGTTGGTAGAATTAACATTAATAGCTGGAATTGGGAACTGTCCCATTATCAGCCTCAGTACTGTAGGCAATGATATTAGGAAAAAGTAATAGCAGGATCTTGACCACGCGTGATATATTCTCAAGAAGAGAAGATGAAGAAGGTGAATAAGAATGTTCTGAGCTCTTGGAACCTCCTACCCGGGACGGGTTGCACACTACCTGGCTCCGCTCAAGGGGGTTAGTGTCACAAGGACTTGTTCCTTTAATTATAATTAATCTAAAGTATTGAAAAGCAAATAATCTTTTTTTTCCACAAGAGATGATTACTTCTTTATATATATATGAACGCATTTTCCCCTACAAATATAATCAGCTCTGTGTTTCCGTATCTTGTTTGGAAACAATCGTTAGATGTTAATTGTCCCTGCTGTTATTTATCTATGTGTTCTCTTACTAGATTTCGTCATTGTTTATAAAATCTCATTAACAGAAAATGTCACATGCTTCTAATTCAATTATTTACCGAGCTCTAGAAGATAAATAAAATATTAAGGCAAATAAAATGCTGTAATTGATAATTATAAATGAATGAAGTTATCGTAATTCAACATATTTGAAGGATTTTTGTTAAGGAAGCTTATGGGTTTTGCACTTGCCATTGTCTTATATGAAGGAAGCTTTTTGCATGTTTCTCAACTGCAAAACGTATGTTGCTACTGGCACTGATGAGGCGTTGAAGCTTACCTTGCTCCTGAAGGGCGTGGAGGACATGCCTGGGTTGAAGGATATGCTGTAGTAAGATATTGGCTCCCCTGGCACCAGTGGCATCCACTTTGGCATCCCTGTAGCTGCCACGTCTGAACCCTGGGGGGACCTGCAACAGCATCCAGGGCATGAGAGGCCTCTATGTACTCAAGACCCTGTGGTCAGAGGCACATATGGCTTACATGAGGAGTACCAGTGGTACTCCCTCCCTCCTATATGGTTCATCACGAGGAGTACCGCCAGTACAGAGTATTCATAGATTTGCAGATGGAAGGGACCTGCAATTGCATGGGGTCACTTAAGCAAGTCATGAAGGTACGCATATTTACACGTCCTGCCCTGATGCAGGTATGCAAGACTTGGAGTGGGCACACCAGAATAGTGTCAGAGTAGTTAACAGATGGAATGCATTAGGCAGTGATGTGGTGGAGGCTGACTCCATACACAGTTTCAAATGTAGATATGATAGAGCCCAGTAGGCTCAGGAATCTGTACACCAGTTGATTGACAGTTGAGAGGCGGGACCAAAGAGCCAAAGCTCAACTCCCGCAAGCACAACTAGGTGAGTAGAACCCACAAATATTAAAATAAAACTATTGACAAGGTTCTGCTCCGTCCTGGCCCGTTGTTAGCCACGTACCTGTGCCTCATCGTCACTGACAATGCCTCTGGCTTCTGCGGTATCCACAGCAGCATACATACTTGAGAAACATATTATGCTACATGAACCTAAGAGAATAAATAGCTACACACGGAGCCCCGAAAGGTATGAAATAATGAAGCACCAGTTCAGCTTCGTGGGGACCCCTGCAGTAGTAAGAGACACAATAGATGCCTAAAACAATATTTTTGTAATGACAACATATCCTGCCTCGCAAGCTTTTCCCACTGGTTCACCTCCGCCTGGAGAACATCTCATGTATATCACTACTTAGCGTAGAGTATTGAGAAAAAGTTATTGATATATAAGTAATCCTTCAGAAAGAACTCAGTTAATCTGCCTGTTCAACAAAACATCTTGTCAAGGCCAAAAACACTCTTTGCTCATATAACAAAGCTTCTAAGTATGAATGACTGAAGTCCACCATATTAACTACTCTCGTATTTACAGACGAGGAGTCACAATAACGTGGCTGAAAAATGTTGACCAGACCACACACTAGGAAGTGAAGGGACGACGACGTTTCGGTCCGTCCTGGACCATTCTCGAGTCGATTGTGAGAATGGTCCAGGACGGACCGAAACGTCGTCGTCTCTTCACTTTCTAGTGTCTCATATTTATCTTAATCCAAGACACACTCACCCTGTGTGGGCGAAGGTTGCCCACATGAAGGTAAGAAGTGCTGACATCTTAAGATCTCTAGGGCCTGGTTGGCCCAGGTCGTAAGGCAGGGAGAAGATAAGAGCGAGGTCGTCTCCATGGGAGATGCCAGAGTATATGGCCTGACTCTTGACCCCTCGTCCCTCAGCCAGGTGGTGGAGGGGGGCGGTGTAGGTGGGGGAGGTGGCGTCTCGGTGGGTCATCAGGTACCTGGTGTCAACAAGGTCGGGATAAGTAGCGTGCAAGGATACCTTCCTGACGCCCCAAGCTGTCACGGGCTCTCACCAACAATGGGCCAAAAGCACATTAATACAGGCACCAAACACCATTACACACACAAATCACAATAGCGTGAAGCATCAAATGAACAAATCGTAGCTCAGTCGATTAAGGCAGCGTCTGGGATCCTCTCGGACGTAGGTTCGAACCTTCGTCACGGTTCTTGTGGATTTGTTCACCAAACACCATGTTTACGGAGAGAAGAGCCCGTCCTCAGGCTCGTCCGAGCGGGGATTCGAACTCTGGGACACTTTTAGTAATTTGAAGGTATTGTGTGTTCAAAATCGGCAGTTTCTGGGATGTAAATTAATATATACTAGAATTTGGTGAATAGTTAGGCCTGACTTAGGTTAGGTTGGGTTAGGTGTTTAGGTTCTATTGGAAATTACTTATATTTGTATTACATTGCTAAGCATTTACAAAGTTGCCGTTTGAACAGCGACCATCACGTGCACACTCAACAAGAAATGTTAACAAATCATCAGTTGTGCAACACGCAGCCGTCCTCATCAACAAAGGCCGAATGCTCGTTAATCCTGCTGCCAAACCCTCTGTTTGTGAATGAAAACGGTTTACACACCACTCACAACTGATTACATTGGAACATTTCTCGAACAGTGCTTCGCTGACGACATCTGTTCGAACCACAACGCTGCAAATGCTTCACCCACGTACTACATACACAAATAATCGCCAACAGAACCTAAACACCTAACCTAACCTATGCCTATATATGCACAATATGCTAATGTATTACAATTTTAATTTATATTTGAGAAAATTCCCGTTTTGACTGAATAGCATGTAAAAGTTTATGAATGCGTCTGTGGGGTCGACTGCTGGATGGAATGAACTTGGTCTGAGGACGGATTGCTGTAAATGAATGAAAACGGTTTACTCACCGTTGAATGAAAACTCACGTACTACAAATACAAATAATCGCCAACAGAACCTAAGCACCTTACCCAACTTATGCCTCATTATATATGGAACTTTAATATATAATAATATTAATTTATATATGAGAACAAACTTATTTTTAATTCACAATACTTAAACATTTATGAATGCTTCTTGGGGGACAGCCGCTGCTTTAACGACCCTGGCTTGAGGAAAGGTTGGCAACCCCGTCTTCAGGCTATGTTCATTCCATCCAGCGGCCTACCCCAAAGACGCATGCATCAATGTTAACACGTTATTCATTCGAAATATGAATTTTTTCAAATATAAATTAATTTTATACATTAGTGTATTGTGCATATTTAGGCATAGGCTAAGTTTAGTGTTTAGGTTCTGTTGGCAATTATTTACACTTATAGTACGTGGGTGAAGCATTTAGAGTTGCGATTCGAACAGAGGTCGTCAGAGAAGCACTGTTCGAGAAATGTTCGAAGGTCATCAGTTGTGAGACAGCCCGTCCTCCAAACAAAGATCCAAAAGTGATTCCATGCACCCGCCAAACCCCCTGTTTATGAATGAAAAACGGTTTACACACAACTCACAACTGATTTCGTTCGAACACTTCCGCAACAAGTGCTTCACTGACGAGTTTTGTTCAAACCACTTCGCTATAAATGCTTCACCCACGTACTACAAATGCAAATAATCGCCAACCGAACCTAAACACCTAACCTAACCTAACCTATGCCTATATATGCACAATATGCTAATATATTATAATATTAATTTATATTTGAGAAAATTATTGTTCTGAATGAACAGCATGTTAAAATTCATGAATGCGTCTGTGGGGGCGACCGCTGGATGTAATGGACTTGAGTCGAGGACGGGTTGCGTGAGATGTGTATATACCGTTTTCCATTCGTAAATATGGGGTTTGGCGGCTGCATGGAATGAACATTTGACTTTTGTTGACGAGGACGGGCTGGTTTACACACTGATCACAACTGATTACTTTTGAAACATTCTCCAACAGAAATTTGCTCTTGTTCTATTTTCGATTGCACCTCTGTAGATGCTTCACCGACGTACTACAAGAATTTTAAGAGAACCTAAACGCCTACCCTAACCTCAGCCTAACCATGGACACAAATCAACTCTTACATTTATAAAGAAAATGTCTGTTTATGTGAGAGACAAGACGCCTGGGGCTAGTCTCATTAAACTTCACAAGATTAGAAGTTATTTTATCGTGAGTGTCACAGGGAAGTCAGCGTCTTGCCCCCTTAAAGCACGACCCACGATATCCCACCTTCACAAAGTCTGTGGATGCGAAATGTTAAGCGCCGAGTCCATAGATTTACACATTTGCTTTAAAAAATAGTGAATTAATATATTGATTTTGAAAACATAAGTTCAGATGACAGACTTGCATTCTGGGCATAACCTTGTGTCCCAGAATGTCCCTTTCAGTGTAAAGGTCCCTTTCAGTGTAACCTTTTGGTTACACTGAAAGGGGAAGGGAGTGTGAAGGCAGGGACAGAGAGGTGGGAAAGGGTGTGTGCAGACAGGGGGGAAAGGAAGAGTGGAGACGACGTGTGGGCACGAAAGAAAGAAAGAGACAGGGAAAAGGGCATATGTCAGGGAGGGAAGAGACGGGAAGGGGCGTGTGTGGGTAGGGAGGACACGGGGAGTTTATACTAGAGGAAATGGGCAGTGTTTGTGAGGGATTATAGGGAGTGTGTGTTTGGGGTCATGGGGAGGGTGTGTTAGGGGACATGGGGAGTGTGTGTTTGGGGTCATGGGGAGGGTGTGTCAGGGGTCATGGGGAGGGTGTGTCAGGGGTCATGGGGAGGGTGTGTTAGGGGTCATGGGGAGGATGTGTTAGGGGTCATGGGGAGGGTGTGTTAGGGGACATGGGGAGGGTGTGTTAGGGGTCATGAGGAGGGTGTGTTAGGGGTCATGGGGAGGGTGTGTCAGGGGTCATGGGGAGGGTGTGTCAGGGGTCATGGGGAGGGTGTGTTAGGGGTCATGAGGAGGGTGTGTTAGGGGTCATGGGGAGGGTGTGTTAGGGGTCATGGGGAGGGTGTTTAGGGGGGGAGGGTGTGTTAGGGGTCATGGGGAGGGTGTGTTAGGGGTCATGGGGAGGGTGTGTTAGGGGTCATGGGGAGGGTGTGTTAGGGGTCATGGGGAGGGTGTGTTAGGGGTCATGAGGAGGGTGTGTTAGGGGTCATGGGGAGGGTGTGTTAGGGGTCATGGGGAGGATGTGTTAGGGGTCATGGGGAGGGTGTGTTAGGGGACATGGGGAGGGTGTGTTAGGGGTCATGAGTAGTAGGGTGTAAGCGCTACAGGGGATATTTTTTTTCTGGCCGAGGACCCCTGTGGGGTGTAAGCGCCACAGGTGATATTTTTTTTCAGGTCCAATATCCCGTGTAGCGCTTGGGGGTTTTCAGGCGAATTTGGGGAGTCACAGATTTGGGATTAAGGATTTCTTATGAGAAAAATAATTTCCGAGATCTTAGAAGTTTGTTAAGCATTCTTATGATGAAAATAAGTAGGAAAATCTTAAAGAAAAGTTTTAGAAAAATCGTGTTTGTGTCACAGCATTTCCAGGTAACTCTATGGACAACCTTTGCCCGTTTTCAATCACACATTTTCCAAGAGCATTTTCAGAGAATATTGTCTTAGATGTTTTGTTAAGGAAAACAGACAACTTATCCATAACATTTAGTTTTATATCCATTTACGGCTATTTCACCTGTAAAGACCAAAATTGAACAGAGCCCAGTTTTAAGCTCATATTTCATCAGAGACCAGTTTATACCGAAATTCGCCAGAGTCTACTTTGAGAGCAAATTTCATCAGTGTCCTGTAATCTGTGAAAACTTGACAGAGACCATTTTATACCCAATTTTCGGCAGAGTCCAGTTTATGCTCAAATTCGCCAGAGCCTACTTTGAGAGCAAAATTAGTCAGAGACAGTTTTAAGCTCATATTTCATCAGAGTCCAGTTTATGCTCAAATTCGCCAGAGTCTACTTTAATAGCAAAATTCATCAGAGTCCAGTTCTTGATCGAAATTCATCAGAGTCCAGTTTTCTAGCAAATTTCATCAGTGTCTACTTTGTGCCAAAATATTCAGAGTCCAGTTCATGATCGAAATTAATCAGAGTCCAATTAAAGACCCAAATTTGACAGAGACCACATTTTCGCTACTAGCAGTCCAATCCCCCTGAAATTTTAAACAGTCATATTTCAGACGTAGTAAATAAGATCAAGTCAGTTACTGAGCTCCAGCTCTTGTCCCCCACCCTCTTCCACCCTCAAGTCTTTGTAAATAAACCATCAATTTCCCCGAAATTTTTACCCTCTGTATTTCAGACATAGTAAATATGAAGTAACAAATATAAAACTCTAGCTCTTGTCCTCTGTCCAAGCTCACTTTTGTAAAATCATTACTCTCAGTCCAAATCACCCAACTACATTTTCAGACATAGTAAATAAAAACCAGTTCAGTTATCAAGTTTCAACTCTTGTGCCCCAGCTTAGTTTATTTGTACAAGTTCTTTATTTTCCAACTAAATCACCCTGAGATTTAAGATCACCGTATTTCTAACGTAGTAAAATTAATCGGGGCATTAACCAAGCTCCATTTCCTCAGCCTTAGATCATCAGACATAAATATATTCGATCAAGTCCCTCTCCAGCCTATCTGTTTATCAGAGTATTTACTTTACCCTTCTCATCCCCAACGTATCAAAACCTTCAATAATCATACTGTATTTGCATATTTTCTCTATATTCAGCTGTGTTCTTCACATTTTGTCCATGTTTTCTATGTTCACTCCATGTTCTTCAAATGTTCACAGTCCCATTCAGTTCATATTTTCACAAGTATCTCCATTTTTTCTGTAATCTTTCTCTTAGTCTCATTACTTTCTCTACAAATTCTAGTCATATTTTCTATGTTTTCACGTTCATCACATGTTCTCTTTACAACTTTTATACTCAATATTCATGCTAACTTCCATA